ATATAATCAAAAAATCATCGTATATAATAGCTAAACTATACAAATGCAATTGTTACGCTTCTGCTCAATCCGAAGCAAAATAGGTCTGGTAAGTCAAGTTTTACACGTCGTAGAAGTTACAAACTAGCTTGAGCCGACGTTAACGTACATTTTACGGCGGCACATCAATTAACTAACAAATTGGTATCACTCGACGGCCCACACACTATATTAACACGTATTATGTTATATCCGTGTTGTTTTGATTAAAATACCTTCTGTGAATGACTCTGGTGTCCGTGTCTTGTCACATCATTAATTAGCTGAGGCGCGTACACGTGAAGTGGTTTTTTCAGTTGGTTTGCGGCTGAAACACCACTAACAAATCGACTAGCAGGAGAAAAGGAGCAATTTCTTCTGTCAGAAATGACGGATATTTAACGATTACAACGATATAGCTATAGTGTTGTATCCAGTGCATTAGTCGACAGCGGGCAGAGTAAACCGGCTGAGGAAGATACTGTTTGTTTAGTAGGTCATTTTGAGCTGGGACTGTATTACATAAGCGACGGGTAACCGTAATTTTACATTTACATATTTTCGTATTATTACAAAATATTATCATACTAAATTATATCCGACCGTTTCAGAAAGTAGGTATTAATCAGCAACGGCGAGGCCGCTATAGTTTTGAAACCCCGTTATCTATTTTTCCTGGTTCGATAATGTATACAATATACATATATATAATACTATTATTATATTATTACATGGCGATTTACACCAATATTAAATACGATATCTAGATGGCGGTAAGATTAAAAAAAAAAACATTTTTTATTACATTAGTTTGACATCCCCCCGGGTAAGTATTTCATAATATTACCCGACAAATAAACGAAGTTTCTGCATAACATTTAATGAAAACTGTTATGTTTATTAGTTTTCCGAACACCGAAACGCCGTTAGGAAATATTACTACAACGGCGGGTTGGAGTGCGCAAGTTGTGTTTGTACACAACGTAATCAACTCGTTTATTACAAGGCACGAACAGCTGCTAAAATGCATAATGCTTAGCGGCCGGATTAAGCTTATTATTTTAACTTATACGATTTATGTCTTTAGCGCGCTTGTGAAAAAAAAACAAATCCACCTCGAATTACAACACACACGACATTACCATCATTTTTCCTTTTACGTTTATATCTCTTTTTACTCGGTTTCCTGTCCGGGTTAGGCTGGCGTTTAATTTGTACCGGCCATTAGAGGCACACGGATTCAAAGGTCACAAGAGCTGTACGAGATAATAATATAACAAACAGATAAAGTTTCTGTTACACGGACGGTGGCCGCAGTCGAGGGACATCGGTGTACGGGCGGATGAAGACGGTTTCATTAAGAAAATCCCATTGCCCTTTTGTAACCGCTGGACCGTGATGGCGATTGTCCGAACAGTTAAGCAACGCCAGAGAGATGCGTGGAAACAAAAGTTCCCGTTTATTTGAACTTAGCAAACACGGCCAGGAAGGTCGGACATAACGTGTTTGCAAACATGACAAATCCTTGTCCCCGCACTCGCTAGTCCTAATCAAACAAATGCCCAGAGTACGTCGGCCGCTAAAAATAATTAGTTTTCCGATAAAACGGCGACTATAAGTTGTAGATAATGGCCGGCGGTCATAATTCATTAACCATCCTTGGCAAATACAATATACTTTTAGCTAAAAATTACGGCGCTCTATAACTTTTTTAAAAGTTCCTCAGATGAGGTAGAGATTTTTTCTTAGGTGTAGTTTTAGGGCTTAAAGTCTGAAACTAAGACTGTAGATAGATCTAGAGTAGGACTATAACATTTACAATTATCTCAAAAATCTAGGTAAAATTTTTTTTTTTATTAAAAGTTACACTTTGACCATAGTAAAGTTATAAGTTGCTATGTGCAAGTGAAGCAATAGTTAATGCATATTATTTTTATCATATTGTTAATTACGATGTATGGGTAAAAACGGCAATAAATAAATATGGACATACAATTAACTCTAATCGATTCCGCTCTAATACTAAAAATACATTTTTAAACACGTTATTATCATTACAATGCTTATATCTTTATTTGTATTTATACCATCCACAGTATCGCATTGAAGCTTTTATTTGAAAGTGATTATATTACTTTCTGTTATAATAATTCCTGTGGCCCAGTAGCCTTTTCTGTCCCCATTTGCTCCGGCCCCTTTATAATCCGACCTCTCTGTGCAGACATTTTATACGAAAAGATAAATATATTTTCTTCGAAAATTGCATACCTTATAATAATACCTTTAAAAATAATAATTGGTTGGTAAGTAAATAATTATAGTTTTTTGTTTTAGGCAGCCCGCTGAGTATTTTGTTTTGGTCTTCAACAGGCAATTAAAAAAAAAAAGTATATAAATAACAATTAACATAAGTGTTAATGTCTAAAACAAATATCGTAGATATCTATTAAACATTGTTGTCAATAGAAACTATGAACAAATAATGAATGTACAAAATCCTATTAAACAACACTTAGTACATATTTCTGTGAGTCATAAATATTAGTTTAACGTAAAATATATAAATATATATATATTGAATTAGGTTTTAATAGATGGCGTTTATATAAAATTAGATTGTAATCTTCGATAGAGAGTAAATCGCTTTTAAATAGGGAAGAGCTATTATTTATGTGTAATTGCATTGGTAAAGGATAATAATGGTAGGGCACACACCATTACCCGAAACAATTTTCACTATGATGTGACGCAAACAAAGAAATTGCTGAAAAAGAATAGGGTTTATTTTCTTAATGCTCAAAAGTTTTTCAATCAAGGAAATTCGTTTGGACGATCAACTTGGCTAGAACTTTAGCCCAACCCACAGATAGGTAAACAAACCACGGTAAGGTCATTAGTTAGTGGCCGCTTTAACTCTAAAACAATTAAACTATTTTAGCGAATTCGTCAATCAAAAAATAAATAACTAAACAAAACTATTTTGGTCGGACCAAGTGTCGCACGCTTTCTTGCTAATTAGACACGGCGAACTTTGAACGTGCCATAGCAGATAAAAACAAAGATTCTGTGAAATAAAACATTCTATTGCTTTGCCAATAAATCAACGTGGAATAAATAAATTGCCGTTACTCGAGTAGTAGGTAATTTCAAAAGCGCCCAATGACACAAGCGTACAAAAATTGCCTATATAACACGCCGTCGGATCGAGCTAGTTTAAGCTGCACGATTTTTTTCATACTGACGCTGTTGTAGTACTAACATTATTGTTATACCTTATGAAACCAGTCATAAAAATACCAAAATTAAATTTTCATATTTTTCGATATGGGTTGCTTAATACATTATATAACAAAAGCTATTATTATGATTTATGACGATTATTTCGTGTTCGCGGAATAATCAACAGTTGAAGTACGATTATGACATTAATGCAGGATTTCCTGCTTACGAGTATAATACCACCTATATTAACAATTTGCTATCATTAAATAAAATGAAAAAAACTATAGTGTTGAAATATCAAAGTACTCGATCAATAATATCTGCAGCGTGTACGATAAATAAAATAAAAACTACAATAGTGGGGTCGGGGCATAGTGGAGGACGGAGCATATGGTGACGCAGGAAGTCACAACTCTACAAGAATAATTATTATAACTACTAGTGATAAAATCACTTTCAAATAAATGCTTCGATACGAATCTGAAGATGGTAGAAATACATAAATCGATAATAGCATTATAAAAGATATAATGTGCTTGACATTATATTATGTTTAGTATTAGGGAGGATACGATTAAGGTAGATGGTTTGTCCATGTTTATTTAATGAACCGGTATACCGTAATCAACAAAATAATAAAAATATTGTTAAATACCTGTTGACTGTTGATTCACTCATGCATAACAAACTAAAAACTTACAACGGTCAAAGTACATTTTTTCTCCTTATTTCGTTGATTCTTTATTACGAAAATCGTAAATGTTATACCTTCACTTTAGATCTACATTCAGTCTAATTTTCAGACCTCAAGTCCTAAAACTTCATTAAAAAATGAGAAATAAGGAAAAAGTCTTGAACCCACCTGGGAGAAGGGGTCATATATTTTTTTGGTTTGTCAAGATTTATCGTTAATAGTTGATCATAAGGATATTCCATACAAATTTGGAACTAATTTCGTCTATTTTAAAAAAATGTTTTAAAGCGCTGTAATTTTAAGTAGAAAAATATGTAAATTTGTTGGGCGTTTTTCTCGATTTTGAAGGGGAAGGGGAGATTTTATTAAAATGTTAGCGCTATTAAATCCCTTTCAGGTACGATTACTGATGTATAGAGTTGCTACACGAAGAATTCGGTTCAGCGGTTTAGAAGATATCGTGAGTCCAGACTCATGAAAATTTGTCTCATTTGAAAAATTAGACGACTAATTTACAAAATTATATATTTTAATTAATAAAAAATTGTATTGTTTAAAAAGAATAATAATAACCGATATTATAACCTGTCATCGTTCCAGTTTGAATGTTAATTTTACAGGAGTATCAAATTCTAACAGTCCTCGTCAACAACACTAGAAGTTCTGACATTAGTTATTCTGGATGTTAAAAAATAAAACATCAACTGTTGTAAATTACTAAAACGCTGAGTGTTTTATTTTTAAGAAACATAACGTTTTTGAAAAGTCAAAAATTGCCTAAATACATACATTTATATTATTTGCCGTTTTTTTGCTTTTAATAAGTTCCATGTTAGTCTTCCAATGTAAAACATTAAAACTATTATTGCTATTTTGAGTATAGCTGTTCTTTATTTGTATGTTCAAAAGTGATTTTCTTTTGAGTTTTAACACTCGTGTAGATTATATATTAGTATTATATTATATTATATTATATTATTAGTATTTTATATAACTATACACAACTTACGCAAATTCGAAAACACTTGTGTCAAATAAAACGTTAGTAAACATAATATTTCCTTACCTATCGGTGCGGACACATTCTTATATGTGCGACAAGAGCATGGTCCATTAGCTATGGTTGTGTCTTCGTTAACACTGCACTGTTGCATACAGTGAACAGACGTACCGCATTCTGAAAAAAATGTAATTTATTAAATTATTATTTGTCAATGACTAAAATAACAATCGGATGGTATACGAATTTGATAGCAGGCAATTTGTAATACAAATAAAAATAATAAAATTAAAGTTTTTTTTTCGGTATAGCCGCATCGAAAGTAACAAAATAATTTGTTATTATTATGATTACGATAATAAACTCTTTGATAAATGTCTGTTTTCCCACTTTTATAATAATTCGATTGCAGATTAAGATTATTTTATGCCTTTCGGTATGATTAAGGCATTAAAAGAAGTAAATTTAAAATGCTAGCCAAAATTATAATATAATGTTTGTGTTTTTTAAAGCAGCCAGACAGTTGAGCTTACTTAATCACGATGGATGAATTGTGGGAAGGCCAAAAAAATTATAGCATACAACTCAGATATTTGGTATCAATTCATCGGTATAGTTAACATTATTAATAGAAAACTAACAGTGGTAGCCTTACGGTCTCGGAATCTCGTTTCACGGAACCTCGAACCGTGTTAAACCATTTTTACATATGTTTTGACCAAATATAGGAAACACACGTTTTAATAATTGTTTCATGATTTTTTAAAAGTGTCGCAGTAAACGTGCATATTTCAAGTGGGGTTGCTGTAGAAAGGTTCCAGCAAACCTATCAATATCTATCTTGAATAAACGATTTTCGTTTATGATTGACACTTAGATACAGTTTCTAGTCATAGTAAATCTGAGTGAATCTACCCATCGTCCATTTTTAGCGTCTCGAGTATTATAATGAGTTTTTAGATATTGTTACAGCGAGTCTTATTACACATACACTGAAATAATATTATGTGTGTGCAAGAACAACTGAGTTATAGCTTTTTTTTTTTTTTTTTTAATGAGGTTTATTTAGGAATATTTATAATTGAAAATGTTTAAACAATAAGTAGTATAAGGCTATATATTAATAATAATAAGGACATTGATAATAATTAACATGGGACAGCTGAGACTACGTTACGTTGTTCCCTTTAATTTAACGAGTGAAGATCCCTAGGTCGTTTTCTGTTCAGACGTCTTACTGGATTGTCTGAAATCAATAGTGATGACAGGTTTGAGATGATTTGATTTTATATAAATTAAGTTTAGGCTAGCTAGGCATTTTTTATGAATAGCTTTTTAATAACAGTGGTAAGTAACGAAAAGCGTGAGTTTATTAATGGTTTGAGATCATTATATAAGGGGGATAGTTGTTGAGTTAAGTCCGTAGTACTTACGTCAAAACTTACATATTTTATTCTAATAGTTGATGATTTTTGCATTATGAGATTGTGAAGAATTATTTTGTGGAAGAGGTGGAAAGTTAAAATTATTTATTTGAATGTTATTATTATTATTATTAGTCTGTTGGTAGTTTGAAGAGTTATAATTGCTTTTAAGATTAGTGGCTTGATGCATTTTCCCTAATTTTTTGTAAGTATTTATAGGATGGACATGCTTTATCATTTGACGGGTGCTCGTCATTGCAAAGTGCATATTTGGCTGGTGTTCTACGATCATTTTTGCATTGGTTCGGTTGGTGATTATCACCACATCAGACGCAGAAGGGGTATCTAGTTACAGTATGCGCGAGTGTGCCCAATAACTGACATCGTAAGAATTGAGAGATTGTTTTCTTAATGTGAAGAGTTTTTATTTTGATTTTAGAGTAGCATAAAAAAGAAAGATTTTAGATTTCAAAGCTGTTTGGAGCTGGTTAGATGTCGACAAAAAAAATCGGCAGTGAAGCATTAGTTGCTTTAAGGAACACATTAGTAATATTTCTGACAGGAAAGCCACTTTTTCGAGTTCATCTTTAATTAATGGTATCTCTATAGAGGGATGCAAGTTTCGAATGACTTTGAGGCCGCAATATATGCGACTGCACGCGACGGCGGTGCGGCGGCAGCGACGATGACAATAACGTTTAACAAGTTTTATTATTTTCACAATAGTAAAAAAGAATAATATAGTTTAAATAGGAATATTGACTAAGTATAATATGCAGGGCGTTACTTTGTGTATTTAGTGAAAATAAAGTTCATCCAGTTCTGAGATGAGTAGTTGTAGAATAACAGAAGAAAGAGTAAAATGCCGAACAGTGGTCGTTATCGCTATGACAGACATAACGCGACTGAGCTCAAGTTAAATTATATTATCACATCTCACAGTAAAACAGAATGAACCTTTATGTTATTAGTATTACACTATTATTTACCGAGTTTTCAGTGGAGTTAAAACTAAAAAGGCACTGAATATGCTTCTGTTTTCCAAAATAATGAGTGTTGAAGCAGAAACAAAAAGCTATTTGGAAAGTAAATAGGCAATTTTCCTTTTTCCAGATGATAAAAATTGTATTCTTCTAGCGTAATAAACACCTGTGTACGATGTACTGTGTAAAAGTCTGTATTGATCGAACGTTACATTTTGCAGAAAATATGGATAATATGGATGGACGAACAAACAACCCGAAAAAACTATTCGAAATCGTTTAGAAAATAGTGAAAAGTGTCGGTGCACATAAAAGTTTAGGTAATAAAAAAAAATTACATTAAATATCAATTTCTGAAAATTTGTCTCAAAAATGGGTTATAAAAAAACCATACCTTATATACACTGTATAATAAAACCATGCCATAATATAACGCTTTATAGTAAAATTTACATGAACTTTATTTAACATTTCAAATCTACTATAAAACAAAGAGAACGACCAAATGGTTATGAAGTACTTATTATTATTCAACGCTAAAAACACATTTCTATAGTTAAAATAGTTAGGTTAAAACTAATTACACAATATTTTTAGCTTATAAAAACCGAAATCAATCGTAGTTAATTTACGTTGCCAAATGTATTTATGTACAGTAATATAAGTATTGTAAATATTGTAAGCCATTCATATGAAAAGCTTATATATTACAATTGATATAATAAATCAACAAATTATTATTTTATTGAACTAAAATATAATAAAAGTAATAAAAAAATATGAAATATGTTCTAACAAGACGTGACAATTTGAATTTAAATATGGTAAGTAGCAACGATAAGTAGATATGACATCGTTTCAAACACCTTAAGAGTTGTAATGTCATTCACGCGGGAGTTTGTTTAACTTTTTAATATGTTTATATCATTGTTCCACTTGGACCTTGGAGATAGTTACTAAAAAATGTGTTGTACTTTTTGTTTGTGGATACAGTTTTAAAACCGTGAACCGAGTTTTAGAAAAAATATACTTGTTTTTACAGAATAAAATATACACAATTGAGTCAATATATTTCATTTTTCAATGGTTTTTAAAATTCCAAACTGTATACCTAATAGCCAAATGTTCTATTTTTGTTCAATTATTATTTCTAATTTTGTTTATTATCTTACTATTTTCTACAATTTAAAATAAACAAAATAGAAAATACATAGATAATGGGGGTTTTACAAAATTATTCTAAAGTAAATATTTACAGGCAGAATTATTTGAAAAAAAGTAATATATTTTTACTACGTAAAAAAAGATACACGTGGGCATTTTTGTAACAAGCGTCCTATATTAGGCATTATATTAATATATAATAAGTTAAAAACTTTATCGAGTTAATAGAACATGCTTATACGTTGCGTTTTTACAGGTCGATTCACCATCTTTATGCCAGTCTATAAACTGTTTGATTCAATCCAAGGGTTAATTCGTATGGTATATAATCAATTAAAAAAACGTGCGTTAGATTTAACTTACCGGAGGTGGCTTTGACCACGGGCACTTCACAGTTACCACCGGTGAATCCATCAGGGCAAGTGCATACCGCAATCAACCGGCCGGCGTGTCTGAAAAACACACAAAAAGCATAAAAGTATAATACGTATATATGATTAAAATTTCTAAGCGACACATTAATTAAACTACTCGACAATAATGTGTTTAGTAATACGGACCCCCTGTCAACGTTTTCACGCATATATAAATTACTCACATACTATATAGTGTGTTTGGACATTTTCCGGTATAACGCTAACATAAACAACTGGTGCGAAAATTTCGTTGTTTTATTTTATTCCACACCGCATTTTTCCCCTCTAAAGAACCGCGTAGTCAGGTGCATTACACGAACAGAAGCTCTAACAACTGCGGCTTAGAGGTATTTCCGGGTAGACCGAGAGGACAGAATAATCATTAATATCCTAGGTGTCCTCGTTATAAAGCACCACCCTTTAAAAAAAACCGGAGGGAGGGTTTTCATTCCAAGTGGTCACAGTTTATGATAGTGATATACTACAGAAACACATACGGATGAAATACGATACGGTTATTAAAAAAAACATACCAAATATACTTTATACGTGTAATATATTTTTTAAGCGGTTAAAAAAAAAAACAAATTCTTAAGTCCGATTATTTATGGTGATATGTCAACGACGCAAGTGCCGGGTAGTTAAAAATCGAAAGCTCTGGATAATTTCCACAATAGTAGTCTTCCACTTAAATGCACATGAATGTCCGATTTCGGGCCATTACTGAGAGATCCTAGCAAATTTAAACACACACTAAAGTAGTGGTCTAAATACGGTCGATTCCTTTTCATGAATGGACATTGCGAATTGCTCAATATACCTTGCCGCATCCCTTTAAGCTATACATTACTTGCATGTGACCTAATATAAAACTATTTTATTTAAATGTGTAGTATGCATTATTTGCACTTTATATTAAGTTATGACTTGAAACTATTAGTAATTATTTCTTTTTCACTGATGTAAGGTCAAAAAACGTTTTACTATTATTGTGGAAAAATTAAAAAACGTAATTAAATTACTTTATTATAAGTCTAAAATTTTACAAATTAGGTTAGTATTAAATTCGAACTTGTTATATCTAAAGTAATTTTTAGCATGTCAACCATCTAATTTGCAGCATTGCAGATTTGATAATTAAGGCATTGGAAGGAAAAGTAGCCTAACCCCAAGTATTATCTTGGTCGACAAAAATTGAAATTGGTCAGCTTTTAACTGTCAAATTTTGATGACAGTTAAAAACAATATTATACGATTTACATTGTCGTTTGTTTGTGATACCATTGTTGAAATAGCAATAAATAATTTATACTGTATTCTTTTTATAATTGTAGGTACGCATTATTATTTTTAAAGGTGAAAACGTGTTTTCTTAGTAAGCATAATATTATGGCGTGTATTAACCAATCAAAAGTGTTTAACGTAAATCGCATGTTATTTGACGTCAATAGTGACATTGTAAAATTGCATTGTATATCTGGAACACTCTTTGGTCTTTAGTTTGATAAAGGGTATCGGAGAGGGTGTCTTAGTTACTCACTTTTCTCACTATTTTATATGTAAGCTAACAGTGAGTAACAAGTCAAATTAATCGCTCTATACACAGTCTAATATACTCTATAAATCTTTCAATATTACTCTATTGTATTAATCGTAGTGAAATATTAACTCATCATTCTTACTATACAGCTTGTGTTATATCATATTTTGTCTCGAACCACACAAACCTCAACATTCAACACTATATGTTGAAAAACTTATTTAATTTTAAATAAGTTTTTATTTAAGTAATTAAAACCTGAAAATGTAACTCTAAAACAATTAATAATATGGAGTTATTAGAAAAATCTTAGATTGATGAAAAGCTTTTTAAAAAAGGACATTAAAAGAATTGGCTAGTTTAAAATAAAGAACGAGTGGTCCTCTTCGTAAGAAGGTAAGGTTAAAATGCTTTGTTTTTTTTGGTAAATCCGAGCTATATTGTTAGTAGGTAAACAATGAGGCTGTATGTCTTCAAAATACTCATTTAAACAAGTTTATACAATACATTTCATGAACAAAAAGTGATGTTAATATATATTTAACCCGATATAAGATGAGGTTTTTTCAATAACAAATGTTTAATCATATAATAATTCAATAAGTAGACAATTAAATAAAATACATAATAAAGTGTTTTTTAATTATTCTGACACAATTACACTTGTACCTTTATGTTCCCTAATTAGTAATTATTCTCTTTTTAATCCAAATATTTTATTTTGCTCGTAGGTCTTATATAAATATAATTTACAAACGGTAAGAAAATTGTTCTGATAATTTCTAAAGAAGCTAATGTACACACAGCATTAGACTGGGTATTATTTTAAGCGTCGTTATCTTGTCTGGATACAACACGATGCATCCAAGAATATGGTTTCTATTGTGCACGGTTATGATGCTCAAAATTTGGAAAACTCTAATGCCTGTTGAGATTTTATAAATAAATTAGTTGTTACACGAAGCGAGTCCGTTCCTATCCTTGTTCAATAACATCAACCAAAGAAAATCATTTCTCCGTTTTGTTTTTTCTCTTTTTTCGGTAACAGATAACACTATGGTCAAAATTATTTCGTAATTTAAGTGTATCATTATGTGTTGTCATTAATTAAGCCTCTGTCACGTCACTCGCTTTTTTATTTCAACTATTTATTAAAAACAAAAAAAAATGTTTAACAATACGTTTTAGTGACATCATTTTAATAAAATGCTAAAATAAATATTGAAAACAATAAGCCTTCTCGAATTTTTAATTAAGTATTCTTATAATATTGAATCCTCTATATAATTCCTCAATTACAACAATCGTTGGATTTTCAAAAACAACCAAGTATAATAATAATTTTGACCAAATACTAAATAATACTAAATACACTGACTTATTGACAGTAAATTTCCATCAATTACTGCTGAGGCTAAAAATCTTCAATATACCTCATGGTTAAAATTTTTTTGAATTACACTTAAGTTTGGAGGCGATTATTAGTGCCACAAAAATAGGTTAAAAATTTAGCTAACATTGACAAGTTTTGTAATTGTAAAAACTTATAAAATCTATTTTTAATTGTTTTAATTAATATTTTGTACCTTCTTAACAAGTTATTTTTAAATGAGCTTAGAATCTACTTTCTATCTCTTATAGTCTAAGATAAAATTTAAAATTAAGCGTTTATAAGATATAACACAGATTTTTTAAATTCAAATCATTATAACGAATGGGTATGAAATCCTAACTACCTGTACATTATCCTAAAGCTAATACAAATATCTATCTTCTCATTAATAGTGTGTAGCATTATGTTTTTCCCTATTCAAAGCAAACTTTTAAAGTTATCAACATTTTTTAAAAACCAAGAAAGTAAAAAGATTATCATAAACAATCATAGTACAAAGATTACTTAAAAAGATCTATTGCTTTACAAATATGTAGACAGACACGTGTGGAAATAGATTTTCATGCTATTTCACATTTTCACTTCAGTGGCAACAGTACCATCTAGAAAAATTTTAACGTCGTCTCCTTTTTTTTTACAACGAGACAAATTTAAAGCGTTATTAAACTCATTTTTTCACATTAACGCACATTTTCAAAACTAGAGCATTGATTGAATCAGTTTACCTGCATATGCCGCCATTTTCACACGACTCGTTGTTTTTGTCAAGTTTGCATATTGGACCAAATCCGCAATCACTTCCAAAAAATCCAGCAAAACACGAGCATGAATATAACCTATAAAATATTATAAATTTCAATAAGTTGTTTAATTATTTATTTAGTTCAATAAACGAGAACTATTAAAAAAAAATTTACAATACCGTTTAGTTTCAATTATTTAAATGTTATTTTTTATACCGTTGAAAAGTTCCTATTTGTATAATTAAAGTAAATTAGTTGTGTACAGTAAGTTGATAGTAAGATACATCTGCTAATTGCTTATCGAGGCACAAGTACTGAAACTGAATATACTGTGGGACTTAGAGGGCATGGACATACTTAACTGTACATTTAGTCTCGCCTATCTCAATAAGGATGCCTAAACCTACCAACATACCAAACAGAAAAAGTTTAAAAATAATACGTTTTAATTATGATTTTGCTTTTTATTGATTTTCATTTAAAATTTAATAGTCGCCGCTTACAACTTTTCTTTAAGATGATGGTTTGAACTTTGCAACGTCATTAATTATTTAAGACCGTTAATTAATAATTACAACAAAGGTTTTTCTAGAAAGTCATTATAAAGCATAATAAAATTGGGGAGACCATGCTCGCCAAAACTTCTCCGTTTAAAGTACTTAGCCACAAATATTTTTTATAGAATTTTAATGTCGAACGTGACTTTTTAAGTTTGTATGCGAAGCTGAGAGGCACGCGTCATAATTTATATACTGTATATTATTTTTTTTTTGTAAATATAGGATACAATATATATACTTATCACTTTAAAGGAAAATGAATAATGTTATGTGATACCTAAAGGAATTATTAATAATTTTGCGATAAATATTAAATACCAAAATATACTAAACAGAAATATGAATAGTATACAAATATTGTTAGTAAAGCGATTCAGATAATCAACCGTTATATTACTTGGTATACAACAATAGTAGTCTATATCACAAACTATAAAATTTACTCCGGCCTCAATAATGCAAAATGGTATACTTTCATCAGAAAATGTATCGGTTAACGTCATTGACAGAGGTACGCATAAGTTTGTTGGACGCATACAGGAGCTCCTTTGATGAAGTCCTTTGATTTAAAGGAACCAAGAGTTTATACTGAAAACATCTGAGCTTTAAGTGTGTGTAAACAGATGAAAGCGTATCATACATGCTATTTCGGGGTAAAAGTAATTTTTTGTGTCCCAGAATTAACAGTGTTACTACGAATCCATTATAAATAACGTCAGCCATCAGTGACAAGTCGATTGGGATAGATTAAAATAAGTTTAACTGTTCATACGATAACAGGAATCTTTGTTCTACTTGGCTTGGCAGAGTAATTCATTTGAATAAACCGTATAGAACAATACAAAAACTATGCCAAATGAAACTTTAGAAGTTACTATAGAAGTTACCCATTTTATTTTTACATCTTATACACACGCTATTCATATATTTTCATCAGGCGTGTTTTATCAAAGAATTGGGCTTAATTAAAAAAAAACTCTGCACTTGACACATGAACAAAAAGTAAACGAAAACCCCCAAAATTGTAGGAACATCAGCTCGTTAAGTATAGAAGTAACCTCATTATTATAAAGTACACTTTACGTCTAAAACATGACAAACATGCTTTGGTTAGTGCGGTTTAAGTATGCTTTATATAAAAAAATATAATGTCATATGTTAATTTTACATTTAGAATGACTGTGCACTGGTTTTCATTTTAGAACTTAGAAAAGTACAATTTTATCGGAGCGAATTCCCGGTATTGCTAGTTTAGTAAATGACACAGTTTACAAATTTAAAGTTAAAAATGTCAGTAAATTATCACAAATATTTGTTTTGTTATAATGTATTTAAAATACATTTTGTAAACGTTATAATCTACAAAGATAACAAAATATATTCGTAGCTTGCATTGAGTGAGTGTTACTTTTTGAATACAGTGAATTAGCCAACTAAACAAACTGATGACAATAATTGTTAAATTTATATGTTTAACAAATTATTGTAACGATAAAGGCTATCGAGTTTTATGTATTAACGTAACGTTATATCTGTATTTTTCCTACATCTCATTGGACGCGATTTTGGCTTCAACTTAAGAAACATCGCTATCATGTTTACGATCTATGCATTTAACTTTTTTATCATTAGATACATTAAATCGGTCTCTGCATTTGTTTTATAATGAACATACCGCCAAATACTTTCCACGCTGGTACTTGTCAATGCTTCTTTCAATTTAAATCAACATTAATGATATTTAAAAAATAAACTCTAAGTTTTATAAAACAATATATTTGAACATTTTATCGTTACAAAATATCGTTTACTACAATGATCACGCTTTTAATTGACCACTATATTGACTGTATACCTACCAAATAATATAGGTATTTAATCGGACCATATAATCGCTCTGAGTTATGGCAAAAACCACTCAATTTTATTTTCACTACATTTAAACTGGTTTTCTGTAAAAAGTAAATAAAACGTAATTAAACCAGTTTATCGACATCCGCTAATAGTCTAAAATCACCGAATAAGAAACAAAATTGATTAAATCAATACGGTAGAAACAATAAACCCGTTTTATTTTCATCGTTTCATGAATGAGGCCGATTTAGAGGATTACAAAAAAAGAGCCTACAAATCCCCATGTAATTAAACCGGAATACTTTTTTTTTATACTTACTAGAATGGTAGGATATCCTACGAATGGACAAAGAAAATCAAGAATAGTTTTTTTATCATCCTTCTTAAGATGTTAGAAATGTCGTTAAAATGAGAGATTAACAAAAAATTCTATAGAAAAGCTATTAGTTCACTTCAACGCTCATTTCAATCTACTTACATATTATTTGGTGTGTCGTTAAAGAACAGTAATTTAACAAATTCATTATTAAAAATTTAACTCTTATCGAGAATTTTTTTCAAATATGAAGTTTGCAATAATAATTGACAAATAAAAATAATCAATTATTTTATGCTAAAATGTAGTTTTATATTTTGGTAATATTTTAATAACAAACACGGATAGTAAAGAAGAATACGTTGGAAAAATGCAACAAAATCAATTTAATCAATATTATTAATTATAAAGTAAATTAAACAAAAAAAGTTCAAAGTACAGTTTTTTGTTTAATTAAAAGTAAATACGTGAAATCTAAATAGACGACAAATGAAACTAACCCTTAAAAGTTGAAACGATAAAGAAATTAATGAACTTGGAAATTATAATGAAGTCGAAGAAATACTAACTGGGTGTTTGGATAATAAATTATGGTATAATATCATTATGAAGAAGATATGATAAATTTAAAATGTCACAAATAATAAATCCTTCGAGAAGAATCCTTTAAAAGCAGTACAATTATTTAGTGACACAGTAAAACATTATCAAGCTTTTAAAATAAAATATAAAACAATTTAGTTGGTACATCAGTTTTAACTGAAATTGATCATTATGCTTTAATCAGCTATAGCAAACTTCAAGCAAATTTAAATAAAAGTCTACATTGTAAATTATGGTAATTCAATGTAACTCGTTAGATCATTTTTTCTTAACGATAAATATCCTAAGAATTGATTTTCAAAGTCGGGAACATATAAATGCAAAGTCAGAAAATGTATACTTTATACATGACAAGTATACAAACCTCAAAAACATTAAAAAAAAAAGAAATCTGGAAAATACAATAAGAGTCAAGAAAAATTAAATAAACGTAATTTAGTTTACAACTTTGTAATGTATGTTCTGCAATTATGAAGACATATTAAAAAAAAGCCATAATTTTATCATCTTGTTTTCCTTGTTGCAAAATAAAATAATAATAGTTAATATCAATACCCAATACCTATCTTATTATCCTATTAGATACTAAATAGTTATTGTCTAAATGAGAATAAAATTATAATGAAAAATATGTCTCGGTTTTTTGTTGATAAATTACATTCTGGTTTATGAAATACGGAAGAACACTTTTTAATCTACAATTTGTGGCGTATGAGTTGAAAAAGATAATAAAATTCAACCCTTTCAACAGGCTATATAGAAATTCAGCAACGTAAATAATTTTGAATACACTGATAGATAGGCGTGGCTTTTACTTGTGCCCCAACAGTTATAATGATCATTTGGTCTTTGGACATAAGCCAAGACTTTGAATATTGCTAGATTTGGACAAAACAAGATTATTCTTAATATATTGCGTGCTTTGTGGAATGTATAAAACAAACCATTCTTGTGACCATTGCCAAAGTTTGTAACGCAAAATCAAAATGCTTTTTAAAAACTGTTATAGTGTATTATATTACATTATTCAAATAATGATTTTCAACAAAACTTCCTATTACCGGTTTTAATAGTAATTCGATAAATAAAATTAAAGAAACATAAGTGATAGGAGTTCCGATAACAACGTAGTAGTTTAACAATTATTGTTAAAAATATATATATATATTTAACCTTCAACATCATCAATTATTGAAGCACCTAAAATTGTTTTAAAGACATATAAGTTTTTAAACCCGTTTGGTTATAACAAAAAAAATCCTTTTGTAATTCTGTTGTCAAGCTGGACAATTGGGAATAATTAAACATTTTTGCAACGAGTTACGATTAACGTTTACAATTTTTTCTGCATTCAATAGCTAATATAATTTCTAATGGTGAATTTTTTAGAGGATTTTACGAGATACAACTATTTTAGGAAAAGAGAAAGCAACTGTGCAAACACAAAACGTCATTTACCAGTATTTGGTCTCTCGTCTAAACTTTTGTTGTTTGCAGTACTATCTATTACTGTAATCTTCTAGCTTACCATTCCCACAACCATATCATTCTGGACATTGCCTTAAGAGACCCAAAATGTACTTTACAAAACTTGTACGATTTTATTTGTAAGACGCGCTAACATTTAGTTACGTCTTAAAAAATAAAACTACACAACGAAGTGTTTTACTTCCCAAATCTTATTACACAGTATTGGTATAATATTCTTTTAAAAACCGATACACACCAAGCAAATTTTAAAAACTACACCTCAAGTAAAGACTATCGGCCAAAATTCTATTGATAAAAAAAACAATTCGTTGGAGTAATAATTAATTTATGACAAATAGTTTTTATACATTGATGAATTCATACATTTTGTATTAATAGACTTAAAGACAAACTGACTGAATTAATAATTGGCCTTTGTATAAACTGTTTGGATACCGTTTATTTATACAAATACATAACTAGACATGCCGGGTTGTGTTTAATAATATTTAATCATATAAACACTGTTTATATATTTATTTTGCCTGGAAACTAAAACGGATTTTATTTTATAGTATATTAACATTTTGTTATGGTTAAAATGTATGTTCTAAAATGCTAAAATTTTTCAATCCAAATCAATACATATTGTTGATTATATTATGAAAAAATTACATTGAGCGATTCAATTCAAATTTATGTTTTAAATTAACCAAAATCATGTTAATGCAATAACTGAAAAAATTGTGCCATTTGATGATTCCTGGGTGCTAATTTTCATATATTTTAATGGCAGTATACAGAGAAATTAGAGATTCATAAAATAATCTATAAAAAAAACTACCTTGTATCCCAGTTAAATAATATAGAATTGTGTTTTTTAATATTATCGTAAGCAACCGTTTACATAACCGGAAGCATCGTACTACTTTCAAATGCTCCGACTTGATTTTTGAAATAAGCAAACAGCTCTTAGGCAGATAATTATTTCGAGATTACCTCCTTTTTTTATTTTAAGTGTGGTTTAAAAATTATAAATAAATGCAAGCTAAAACATTATAATACATTATATTCATTCAACCAATCCAAATATTTAAAATTAGTTTTAATTATATAAAAGTTTTAAATTTTTTTAGTAAAAAAGGACATATTTTTTTGCCCTAAGGAACACGAGGTCGCGAGGAGAACTGAATAAAATTTAAAAAAATATTTTTTTGGATCACTAAAATATTTAATATGAGAATATAAGTGAACGCTTGTTATAAAGTTGTACAATACATTTTATGAAAAACATCAAAAATTTTATCAAAAAAATACTTTTAAATATATATAGAATATATTAAACAAAAAATGTAATGAATTTTTCTAAAACATGCCCCGTGGCTTATACTAACCTACCTACTTCTTGTATTATATTTTATTATTCAGCTGTCGTGTAGTTTTCTGATCGTAATACTTGTAGGACATGGACTGTGACAACAACTTTAGTGAATCCTAGCAACTAAAAATAATTTATCTTTTTTTTTTTCAAAAAAAAAAAAGTACGCCAAAGTTCATTAAATGAATGGTATAATCTTAAAGTTTATTTTAATGAAAGACAAATTAGTTTGCTTATTTGTTGATAAAACAAAACATTAATGTGCCTGTAATAAAACTGTAATGTAAAACTAATTATTTTAAAAACTTAAATGAACACTATCATAAATTATATATAACTATAAAAACACTGTATATTGAAAACATACACTAGCCTGTCTGGCTAGTAAGATGTGTTAAGATTTCTTTTGTCGTTTTTGTTATTACTTTATAATCAGGGAATAGATTATTTCGAGAGATATTTAAAGAATAACAGCTACCTGTTCAAAATAAAATTATTTATTGGAGACTTATACGTTGTAGATACAGTGTTTTATGGTAAAATTAATATCAATTTGGGAGGGCGGTAATTATTTTAACTTATAATTTTCCTTAAACCAATAGGTACTTATCTAGCTTAGAACACAGTATGTGTTTTTCTTTGCACCAACTATCATTTAATAAATTATTTGTTTTGTCCTTGTTAACTCATACAATTTATTTTTTTTAACCACTTACGGCGGTTTCCCTAATAATCACTCCACCACGTCGAGGAAATGGTTTAATTTTGCTTTGTGTAAAAAATGTATTTTTTGAAAGAACTATTGGGAAGAAATTGGGTGTTTTTTTCTGTACAAAATATAGAAAGAAGTATCATAAATAAAATACCTATTTTTTAACCTAAACAGATTTCGATGCTCTATAGTCTATACTTAATACAATTTAAGTATAGCCACAATTTCAAACAAACATTACAAAAAACAATATCGTGCACATGTATATACTATATTTTATTGAATTCCCGCAAGGAGTCAAGAAGTATAACCTTAAAAGAAACTAAAACGCATTTTCAAGATTGTTATGCAACACAAAAAGCTATATTATACCGCTTTGATAGCAAAAATTGAATTGAAATTATGGCAATTTAAGTCTGTCGTGCAAAATACAAAGTACAAAAAGCTTTTGTTTTAGAATTCATACATAAATTCGGTTATTGTACCAATACACATTAATACCATTGTGAATTTTAAAACAAAACATGTAGTTTATTTATACAATTGTCAAAACCATGTTATTAAACGAAAGAAACTAACTTTTTTCCCAGACATTTGAAAAGCTCGTCTCGTTTTTGTTTTAAAGACCTAAGTACGCAGATTCACAATATTTCTTAATTTGTTCGTATCACGTTAAGATGCATAAGTTTATATTTACCGAACAAGTTTATAGTCAATTAATTGTATTACATTTGTGTTTTAATATGAAAAAAATAAATTCAATTCAAAAAGCGTAACTTTATTTCAATTTATGTAGTTTAATGTACTAAACAATATTGACGGATTAGTAAATAAGTTCATGTTAGTCGAAAAATGACAACAGCTAATTATAGATCTCAACCACAATATGAATATTTTAATGCACACCAACCAATGAAGTTTAGACTGTCACAATATTCGTTGAATTAACAAGAAAATCGATAGCCTTATTACAAGTTAAAGTACTAACAAAATAATTTCGTTGTCTAATTCAACCAATCATCATCGACTGTTGATCGTGTCAATTTAGCATAACATATTTGTATGGACTTAACAGGATTTCCTGGTCTAGGTCAAATAATAACAAAAATAATTGGGCTTCGGTATTCTTAGGTTTTTTCCTGTTTTAAACATACTTGCATACGTTCCTCATAATCACATTAGATCACAATATGGCATAATATTGAACATCTTTCTCCTTTTTGATGTACAACTTTCTCAGCTTATTCTGTTTTATAGAATTTTTCTCCTAGTAAATTCTTAATTGTTTTCTACTTAATTAAAATATTCGAAATAAAAAAATCTGACACTGTGTATACGTACGTGAGGTCAGCGTTGCCCAAACAGTTGCCGGAGAACGAGCACTTCAACAGACTGCACACGTCGTTCCTCTCGTCATTCAACGGCCGCACTTCGTACGTTATGTTGAACCCGTATACGTTCATTAGGTCGTCGTACACTCGGATGTGGTTGCCCTCCAGCCTGTCCATCTTGAACCTGATGACCACGTACGGTTGCGTGGACAGCATGGACTGCGCGTATTGCGCTATATGTGTCTTGTTGAACACCTCGCGACCGGGCACGTCGTAGTCTTTACCGTAATAGCTGTACTCGGTGACGGTAAACCCGTCGAGGATGTACAGTTGCGTGAGGTACACCTCGATAATGGTGTTATTGGACTGATTGCTGATCACCCACTCGCATTCGATCGGCACGGAGAACGGACCCGGGAACCGCGGCGTGGTGATCACTCCCTTGGACGCCGTCAACGGCCGGTCGGGCGGCGTGCCGCAAACCGGGGACGCCGTTCCCTTGGCAAACGCCACCGTCGATAACAGCCACACCAGCACCGTCCAAGGAGAAACCGTGGATCTCGACGCGACGGACCGTTGCGGACGGGTACGCATGCCGCGGCACGTCTCGATTACCGCCGGCGGTCGGCCGTTGCTGTCACATGGTAATTGCGCCACTGGCGGACCTGGCCGAACGCGATCACGGCAATCGCGACCGCCTGCGCCGGTGGAACACGCAGGAGACGTGATCAAGCGTCGATGGCTCTGTTCGGTCGACAGTGGCGTTGACGTGGCGTAATGTACTTTAACTTAGAGACACGTTGTCGCTGATGTGACACCACTGAAACCATAGTTGTAATCTTCATAAACTAAAAACAAAACAAAAGAACACTTATATAAATCGACCGATTTCACTGGATTCTACAATAATAATAATAAATAAAACACCATTCTTAGATCATCCTTAATAATCTAAACTTGCTAACCGACCAACACAATCACATTATGACACGGAAGTAACAAAGATCCTTTATATTGATCAGAGACTAATCATAACCGTTCAATTGTATTCAGTATTGCAATTTATGTAATAATATAAAATGTATTTAAATCCGTGAAATCACCATGATACGTCTAGATTACCGTGTACCGGTGTTGGTGAGTTGAGGCCCAATCCCTAAATCAAGTACGAGTTGCGGCCCGGGTTTCTGAGAGAGATGTATAAGTTGCGGCCACATAATAATTACCACTTTATATTAGCCTATTAGCGTTACCCAGGAGACACCACGGGGAGGTTGGCTGAGTTATCTCCCAAAAATGTGTTTTTTGGTCAAGTTAAGTTTCGTCATGTTATTTGCCGATGAGCGGTTCCGTCGTTGTCATTTTAGTTTTTTTTATATTATTGAGTTGACAAAAATTCATATGTCCTAATTTTGACACTCTAATAACTTCAAAAGTAACGAGATCACATAATATAAAAACAATGCGAAAATAAAAATTTAAAAACTAATTAAATCCTACAGGCTATAAGATATTGACTGGATCTCTTTAAAAAAATCATCCTGTATAACTAAATTGGCGAAAAAAGTTTCAAGATAAAAAAGGTTGTACGGGCCGCAACTCATACGTCCACCGAAAACTGCCGGGCCGCAATTCACCAATCTCCGACATCATAAACAACAACTCGGGCCGCAACTCACCTACAGCCTCCTGTACAAAATGATGAAACACGACTATTATTGTACAAGTCGACGGCAATGGTTAGGTTGCAACGCAGTTCGTTCGGAAGTGAAACGGTTATAACGAATTTGATGGTATGTTAAAAGTGATTAGCGAATATTTGGGTAATGATTATAAAGCCATATTGATACTAATATATTGTTAAAGGAAAATTGATTTTTATAATCATTGAGTATTATAAAATCAGCTCTTAGTATTATACTTCCAACTTGAATCCGACTCGTATTTAGTTAAGACGACGCTACCCAAGCCATTTCTAAGGAGTAAAGTATAGGCAATTTTTCGAAAAATATTAAATTAGGGTTTGAACTATAATGTATACTTATTAATACAGTAATGAGGATACTTTGTTGATTGACATTTTTTTTGTCAGACTAATGCAGTCACTTCTATAGGATAAATTAAACAATTTTTCCCATAAAAACAGCTTTGGCGGGACAAGTATGTGAGGCCAGTATTAGCAGTAAATTTACTAAATTTTCACAATTTATAGAGAAAAACTTTATCCAGTGGGTAGCGTTTTATTTTTTTCAATATCTATACTTAATATTTTTTTATAAACAAGTTAAAGAAGGAAAAAATAATGAATATTTACGAATGAATATATTTGATTGTGCTTAAGTTTTAAAAAAACTAAAAACGCTACCCAGTAGATAAAGTTCTTCTCTATCCACTGTAAAAATTGTATACGGATACTCTAAAAATCATTTTTTGTGGATAAATTACGGGTGGGTAGCGTCCTCTTAAATCACAACGTTTACGTTTGTTTTCTATACAATATTACAATTATTTATAGTAAACAAATATAGACCGTTCGCATTAACTGATTCAAACTTTGCATAATGAATACTATTTTAAGATTTTGACTTCAAAAATGACTGGAAACAAATCTGTCTTCCCTATCTGAGTTCACTTTATGGCTTTCTCGATTAATACGAAATTGTGCATGATTATTATGATAACCGAATAGTCATCAGACACGTCTGCTTTTCAAGAACTAGGTGACAATGTTTTTGTATTATTTCTGTTGTTTTTTTTTACGGAAAGTAGTTAAATAAAATCTGGGCATTCGTTATTGATGATATATTTAAAATAAATTTTAAAAAGGTGTTGAGCTAGATAATTAATTTGTTTTTATCTAATATTTGTACATTTTATTATTTACACATAGATATATATTATATACTAATACTAAATACTAGATATGCCATAATCACCCTGAAACTAGTTGAAGCCGACACCAAATGTAGGCACTATGGGTAAAGAAACATTATCAATATTAAGCTTTATCATCTGGTATAAATTACTTTATGGACTTATAATTCTTAATTTTACCCGTTGTTGTTATATTATTGATAGCGTGTTTGATAACGTTTGTTTATCGATTGTGCCTATATTGCATATGGTATTTGTATATATCTATAGTTATTTATAAAAAAAAATGATAATTTTCCGACTATCGGTACTGATGTATTTTACTTATTGTTTGGATGCCGAGCAATTTTCCAACCTGTATTATTTTTACTCTTCTTATTTGACGGTTTAACGTAAAAAGGGCGGCATAACCTATCATAAGAAAATATTCGTTTACTTTCCTATGAAATATCTGTATATTATTATAATATGTATAAAAGTAGCATATTTCCAATAATTTATTTCAACAATAGCTGTCGCTGAATAAAAATAACTTTTCTCTTGGAAAGACGTCGGGTCGTGAGATAAACCACGCGAAATACAACAAAGAAAAGGAAAATGTTCATTTTCATTACCGCCTGGCATCCGAGTAAAAGAAACTTGCGAATCGAAAAAAAACAATAGAAGTTTTACTCAAATCGATTTTAAAACGTTTGCAATATTAACGCATGTGTGAGAAAAACGTCTGTCCAAACCGGAATGCCAATAAAAATAGCTAGATAGGTATCCGAGGAAAACCGATTTCAATGGGCACTATAATACCATATTCACCAGTTCCCGGTCGAAATGTAGTTCTTTTACCACTTTATAGTCCTGAGGCAAAGAGTCATGGAAATATAACGGTTAAAACATGGTATTAATCGTTTGTCGTTCAGCGGCAATCAATACTTCTAAATCAGAAGTTTTGAGTGCAAAAAAAAATACCAAATTACATGGAAAAATATTTTAAGATTCAATTACACATAAAAGCGTTTTTATTTAATTTTCTACCATATATTTTTATATTTCGAAATAAAATAATATACTATAAAAAATTCATTGACGTTTCGTCAAAGGTCAAAACTAAAAATCTAAAAAAAAAGTCTAATTGTAGAAATAAAAGTCCCACAAAAAAAAATGTGAATCTCAATATTTTTATTAACTATGAGTATAATAATTATTCTTTGAAACAAAAGAGAAAAAGAACTCATGAAATGAAATATTGTCACTGGCGGGACCATAAAAACTGTATAATTCGAACTTTTTTTTATCATTTGATTCTGCGCTGTGTCTCGTCATCACCATTAAGACTTATAATATTATTCCAAAATCCAATGTATATTTCATTAGATTTAAATGTCGTTTGTTTCGTTTAAACAACTGTATGAAAATTACAAAAACTTCCATGTTTGAGACAAGTGTTAGTTCTAGATTAATTCAAATCTGTCAAAAACAATTTACTAAAAATTACATACATATAAGTATGGATAATAAAATAATGGTTTTATCATTAATTATTGATTTCATTTAATACAAAAAATATAATATTCTACATTTTCGATGCCGTAATATTTACAAAAAAAATTTCACGGTAAATGAAGATTATTATTGAATCAGTCATTAAATGACAAAATATGGACTTCTATTTTATTTTAATTAATCGGTAATTTATATTCTTTTGCTTCGAGTTTAAGATCTCATTCTATGAATCAGATGATAGTTCCTTTTGGGACAAGTCTTTCCTTTAAACAAAAAATAATATTATTATTATTAACACATTTTCAATAAGTACCTTACTATTACGTACTATTCAAACGCCATTGGGTAAAGCTGACTTATACTTGAGAAATGAGAAAACAGAATTAATTTCATATAAAACGAAGTATAGTATAATTGAAATTTTAAACCAAATTTTTCAACACATACCGTCTAATAGGGTTTAGTTCTTGTTTTTTTTTTACTGGAGATATTAAACTTAAAGCAATCGTTTACAAGGAAAAGCATCACGAAGTCCTTTAAACCAAACTGAAAAGAAAAAGGTCAATGCGGCGAGAACTCGATAAAAATACAGTAGTTGTAAATCATATTTTCCACAAACAACTCTTATCCGGTCGTCGAGTTTCACAGACCCCACGACGAAACCGTTTAAAATAAATTAATAGTTTATGTGTGCCAAGTCGTTTCTCGCGGTTACTTTGAAAAAACGATCATAAAAGAAATTATAATTTCAAATTTTCTCATAAAAACGGAAAGCTACATATAACACGGGACTATGTGAAATTAAAATGAGAATAAGGCTTTTGTATACTTTAGAAGCACTGACATTGTATTTAAAAATTATATTTCATTTATATATGTAAGTATACCACACATACCATAATATTATATTGTGGTCTTCCTATACACAAAATTTTTTTTTACTATTGTAAAATATATATTTCTTTTAATTTCATAGTTATAATTAATTATAAACAAATCTAGACCATATTTTTTTACATAAATACCTAAGTATTAGTAAATGGAATTATTTTTATATAATACAATTGTACAATATATTAATCAAGTTCATTCTTTATGGTAATTTTTACATAAATGTTTTAATTACTAAAAATACATTTTATTCAGATAAATTTAACTATAAATTAAATTAATATATTATAGTTTATATGATACACCGCAGATAGATAACTCAATGAAGTTTGGACATATGTCATAGGAGTGTACTTTACAAAGATAAAAAAACATAATATCATAATGTCATATTGTTTATGATTTGGGGAAACTCTTTTGTAAAATTATTATTATTTCATATAACATCGAGTAACAATGATGAAAGAAACAAAGATAAACATTGTTTTCTTTAGCAAACGGGAACAAATGTTGGATATTAAAATGAAGAACGTTTTGTACCAAATAACTGTGAAATACAGATATCAATTATGTACTTGTTTTTAAT